CACCAGGGTTTCAGCAATTCCTCTTCGTTACATTACCCTTGATCATGCCCTACCAGGCCTCCCACACCCACCTCACCACCAATTTGGATCACTTGTTTAAAAGGACATTTTAATTGGCTATCTTAGGGATATGAGTTTTGGTCTGGGTGACATGAATGCAAATCGTGCTTGGAATGAAAGAACTACTGGGGGGAAAGGTGTTCATCCTTGACTAAAATCTTATATTTCAGCTAAAGTCAGATGAGGAAGAATCTCCCACCCTCGAATGAAATATGTTAGCCTTTATGGGAAATTCTGTTGTCTTTATCATTGAGTTGGATGCCATCCTACTGACAACAGACCACAAACCTGCAGTGGTACTACTCCATTGTGACAATCCTGAGCCCATTGATGCAGCCGCTGGGTCAGTCCATCTCGTCGAGGGCCTTCCTCTTTGTCACCCCTCCTCCACTGTACCAAATGTGATGTCCTTCCAGGGACCTGTCTCTCCTGACAGCATGTCCAAAGCATGTAAGACCAAGTTTTGCCATCCTTGCCTCTAAGGAGCACTCTAGCCTGACTTCTTTCATTACAGATCAGCCTGTCCTTTGAGCAGTCCACAATACTTTCAATATTCTTGTGCAGCACCACAATTCAAATACATCAATTCTTCTGTAGTCTCCCTTATTCAAATGTACAGCTTTTGCATGAGGATGATGCAACAGAGATTGCCATGGCTTGGCTGAGGCTCACCTTAGTCCTCAAAGTCAAGTCCTGGCTCTTCAATACTCAAAAGTGGTCTTGGCAGCAGATTTACCTAATGCAATATACCTTTTGATCTCTTGACTGCTGATTCAATCGTGGGTCCAAGTAGGACAAAATCCTTGCCACATCATCCTTTTTTCATCGATCATAATATTTATTACCTATTGGTACAATTGTGAGGATTTTGGTCTTCCTTACGTTAAGTTGTAATCCATACTGAAGGCCACCATCCTTGATCTTCATCAGCAAGTGCTTCAATTCCTCCTCACTTTCAACAAGCCAAGTGGTGTCATCTGCATACCACGAGTTATTAGTAAGCCATCCTCCAATCCTGATGCCATATTCTTATAATCCAGCTTTTCTGATGATCTGCTCAGCATATAATTGAAGAAGTATGGTGAGAAGGTACAATTCTGACCTTTCCTGATTTTATTTATGTATTTATGTTTTTTTCAAGATCATTTTATTGGGGTCTCTTACAGCTCTTATAACAATCCATACATCAAATGGATCAAGCACATTTGTTGCCACTATTTTCAAAACATTTTCTTTCTACTTGAGTCTTTGGTATCAGCTCCTTTTTCCACCCTCCCCCCCCTCATGAATCCTTGATAATTTATAAATTATTTTTAGCTTCATATTTGATACCATCTACTATCTCCCTTCACCCACATTTCTGTTGCTTGTCCTCCTACAGAGGTGGGGAGGGAGGGTATACATTGTTCATTGTGATCCGTTCCCCTTTCTCCCCCCGACCTACCCCCTACCCTCATGGTACCTTCCTCGATTTTAAAACAGCTATATTTTTTAAAAGCTATATTTCCTTGTTTTGTTCACTCAACTAATTGCCTCCTTATCAACAAA